CAGTTAACCACTTTTTCTCCCTCCCATGTCACTGCTGGCAGTAAGCTCTAAAGAAAAGTAGACCAAGTCATACACCCACAGCCAATAATCTACAGCAAAAAAACCCCAAACCTTTAAGGAACCCTGCCTAGGAGTTTTCTTCCAATATTGTTTGCATTGATCTGGGAGAGCTTGGGGTGATGTCAGTAGGATGCTGTTCTATCTCTGGTTGCACAGGGGAAGGCCTCCTTGCAGCACGTCAACAGCAGACCAATCAGTCATGCTACAAATACTTGCTTTCCTTATTCCTTTTGCTTCCAAAAGATTCCAAACATATTTTTATTTCCCAAATTGAAACCATAAATAGCGGCTCCAGTGACAGGTGTGGCACTGCACATGGACAATGCTCTGCAGATCCCCTTTCTTCCCAGGCCTCTGGCTGAGCACATTATCTGCCCCAGTGAGGGCAACGTGTTGTACAACCTAACCGGCCACGTGCAATGCGATTACATCAGTGTCGGAGGGTCACATGGACCATATCTGACATATCCGAGCCTACAATGTTGGGATATATGCACCATGAGTACAGCAAGGCTACAGAAATTTGGGCAAATCTGTGTGGTGTGCATTTAGAGCTTGTGCTAAATGTCATATACCCCTTGCCAGAGAAATTATACCAAGAGATTGACCATTTTGTGCCCATCGAGGCTGGATGCCTACACATGTTTTAACACCTAAGAGCCAGAAATGTTTCTATCTATCTCACATGCTGCTCCTAAAACAAACAGGTCAGACCGCAACTTACCCTTCAGTCCAGTTCTCAGTGCTGCCATCTCATGCCAAACAACACTTTGTCTTCTGTTCAAGGATTACACCCTTAATGTCATGGACTCAGCAATTAATCTCATAAAGAGCTGCGCAACTGAAATCCTTGCTACAGTCCCTCACACAAACTCAGTCTCCTCCTCGTCCCCATCTGGGGCTGTGACTGGAGGGGTGAGGAAAACCTCGTCCTCTCTCCGAAACGCCACCTTTTTGACTCACTATCAGTACAGAGTTTGACACAAGAAGCCAGAATAGCGTGCCATACGCAGTCACATACTCACGCACCCCCAGCCGCTCTCAGACAGGCTGTGCCATAGATGGAGCATGGTCCGACCCAGGCGTGGCTGCCGGCTCTTCTCACACTCCTGCACACGTTCCAGCTGTGTGTTGCTATACAATTTAGGATATGTTTAATTCACCTAATGACAGAGCTGATGTAGGGGGGGTACAGAAGCGTAACTCTACAGCAAGAAGTAAATTCTGGTTTTGTGGTCTGGTTTTCCTCCAAATCCACCAACATTTCTTTTAAAAACAAAGAAAACCAATACTGTTTGTTATCACACTTGGAATTCAGTAAATAAAATCACCCAGTTTTATTCCCAAAGGTCATGTACTCATATGTTAACATTAAAAATGCTTTTTAAAAGTGAACAGAAGCAAGGTCCTTGCAGTACAGTGGCAGAGGTAGTTTGTGGGAGGCAGCTGGGTTCCTGCCCACCACTGATGCATTCTCCTTGCCAGAGGAGAAACAGGGTGGAACAGTGCTTGGAAATACTGTCATTATGAAACACGGCCTTGAAAGCCTGGTAGGTGCCTGGTGGAAAAAAAAAAAAAAAAAAAAAAAAGACCTCACCATAGGTGGAATCCTCTGTGTTAACTGATACTGTGTTATTTTGAGAAATGAACAACTGCTGCTGCTTGGCTAGTTTGATAACAATTTCTGATCAGAACAGGAGGATGCAGGAGAGAGGATGTCCTTTTGCTGGTTGGCCCCACCATCGATTGTGGAAGGTGTTCAGGCTCCTCCGAGTGCCCTCTCCTGGCTGGTAGTGGCCAGGATTTTCATCTGCCATGAATCAGGGATTTGCAGATGTCCAACATCTTGCTTTTTCCATCTTTGTTTTTTTTTAATGCCAGTTAATGCCAGTATCACCATACCATCCAGTCTCCTTGAAAGTGGCTGGGCTCCTATCTATTCCTCTTTTTACCTCAAACTCATAAACCATCTCTCCCCATTTGCCTTGCTTGGAGAAATAAACATCGTTCCCTTCTAACAGCTGGACTTGGGGGGGATCACCAGGGTCCAACACATTGCCAGCAGCCTGTGGGAGTTCAGGGTCTAACTCCTGCACCATGTCGTAAATATGGCTGAAGGAGTCTTCCTCTGGGGCTTCGCTCCCGAAGTAAACAGAGTCATAGTCCTGCGTGTCAACAGTAGAAGGCACTGCTGCAAGCCCCGCAGCCTCCGATTCCCTTTGGAGAGAGGAGAGAAAAAGTGATGCTTTACCCACACCCTGCTACTGGGGTGTGAGCATGGCAAGCGCTGACCCGTTCTGCTGGACTCATGGCTGGCTCCTGTCATTGCTCAGTAGCATTCAGCATCAGCAGCTATTGTCTACCTGCTCTTAGCATGAAGCGCCACATGATTTCCCCCTAGTTTGGAAAGCCACAGGATGTTCTGGAGCTAGTGCGCTGCCCCGGTGTTGTTCCAGCAGCAGCGAGCTGCTGGGCTGCCAGCGGGTCACACACGTAACGTGGAGCTGTGCTCACCTCACTGCAGCAGCCTCACACGCTGTCTTTTAGTTCAGGGCTTCTTTCTTAAGGTCAGAGGTGTTCTAGTTGTAGACAGGTCTCTATGCTTGCTTTCCATACCCTGCACTCAGATTTCAGGAGGCATTGTCCATGAAAAGCACAGATACATACAAGCAAAAGCCCTTACTGCTGTCCGTTAGGTTAAAGACTTCCTCGAGCAGGCAGCTCTGCAGGACTGTGTTTCATGACCATGCCTTAGAAAATACTTGCTGAAATTCAACATGTTTTAGCATTTTAAAACTTTTAATGAAGACACTTGTGGTGCATCTACATGGACACCAGATCTCTTTCCTGTTGAAGTGAACGGCTGAACCCCAGGATGCTGCTGAGGCTGGGGTTTGTCCTACGGAGGGAAGTGATTGCCCCTTTGGAGCTCTGTGTTCTGCAGCGCCTCTCTGAGCGAGCAAGTGGAGGAGACTGGCACCCGTTTTTCTGCTGCTTCACATTATTTTTACATAAGCTAACAGAAAAAATATAAACTTTCTAGGAAGCAGACAGCAGGTCTCTGTGCCCTGGGGAATTTGATGAAGGCAAATGCCGCAAATGGAGCCATTCCAGAATAGCTCATTTGACAGCAGGGTATTAACTCTGTTATTATACTGTTGGTACCTGAACAACTCTCCTTCTGCTCTTCCTCCTCCAACTGGGAATTTGTAACAGACTTTGGGCAGATAATGTGAGAAACCTCCATCTGAGTGTTTTTCCAAAATCTATGAAGAGGCAGATTGCATTGGGGACGCGCACACAGGGAGGCACAGACCTCCCACCACGCTGGGCCCACTCCACCAAGACCTATGGGGAGGTCTGCACAGGGCAGGCTCCTCATCTGCCAAAACACTGAGACGTTGTGAGACAGCAGAGCAATCCCTGAGGGACCATGAGTCTGCCCTCCTGCTGCAAGCAATCACAGCAGCAGTATATGGCTCTGTGCTGGCTCATTTATCCTCCTCAGACATAGTGTGTGGTGGAGAAGACTCTTGGGTCTTGATTAGACACCAAAGAATTTGTCTAACTGTTCTAACCCAGCCTTACCCAAGACAGTTCTACCTCCCCCCAAAAATGTCATCCAAAGCCCAAAAGGGCACTTACATAAAATCGTCTCCTCTTTCGCCCTCGCCTGCTCCTCCCACACAAATTAGTTCTTCAGCAACACAACTATTCCAGCAAAAAAGTCAGTGCTGGCCTTGATTGAGGCTGTAAGCTAAAGGCAACCCCTGGATTAAAAAGCAAGCCCTATGGATATTACTAATCACTCACCGGTGGGACTGAATGTCCAGCTACAAAGCTGTGCAAAAAAAGGAATGCAAGTGAATATTATTACCTGACTGCTTGTATTTCCTGTTTGATCATCTCTAGTATGGCAGAAAATGCAGGTCTCCTGGTGGGGTTGTGATTCCAGCAGGCTTTCATGCACCCAATCAGTCTGGCGAGGTTTGGAAAGCCAAAATGACCAGAAATACTTCCCAACTCCGTGAATTTCAGAACCTGTTTTTATGTATCCAGACAACAAAAACAATGCCACATTAGCTTTGTGGTTATGCGACTTTGCCCCACAACAAACTTGCTAGCAATAAAAATGGTCAAGCTTGCACTGAATTGCATAATAATTGCATAACAAGCAGTAATTTTTACATGTTAATCGAAGTTAGTAGGAATAAATAGTTCCTTGAAAAGAGGTTTTGTACGGCTGTTGCGTAAATTCTTTAGCAATGTGTTGAAGTTTACACCGCAGCCTTTTATTACTGAAGGTGAGAAACTGCATTTCTTCCCGCTGCAGAGGGAGTCTTTCTCCAAAAAAGTTGCAGAAGCCTAATAGCATTGAGAGTGGCACTCAGACATTGCACCCAGTCAACAGGTTCAAAAGTCACTGTGATGGAAGGAGGGACCTGGGCACTGACAAACTGATGGGCAGGCAGACAGCACAGCACAGTCGAGCAGGTCTCCTCCCCGCAGGACTAGGGTAAATGCATAGGCAGGGAAGGAGAGAGATTTCCATGAAGCCTGAACACAGCTCTCATTTGGGAAAATGTAGATGAAGAGAACAGATTATGGGTGAAATGCACTTTCTTGTCTAGGAAGGAAGTCCCATGAGCAGCATTGCAGGTGCTACACTCAGAATGTGGTGGAATATTTCTAAGTCCAAATATTGACTGAATTAAGGAGAAAATAACGACCCCCTGATAAATGGCAACATCCACACTTGAGGTGGGGTTTCCTTTCCACACATGAAAGAGGAAAACTGGAAAATGAGTCTTCCCATAGAGCAATGTCAGCGTTGTAGAGAGGCTGGTACTGAGTTTCCCCCCAAAACATCCTTACTGTCCTTACCTCCTTGCTGTTCAGCAAGTGGAAAGGCTTCAGTGGCTTGTACATGTGCAGGTTGGTCAACTGTGCTGTTAAAGCTTCCCAAATCATTATCCCAAAACTAAAGACATCTGATGCTCGGGAATAGAGCCCAAAATTTCTCACTTCTGGGGCAGCCCTGTTGAAGAAATGAACAGGTTGTTGGTCTAACATGTTTCTGTATACTATAGAGCTCGTGGGCAAGGCAAAGAGTACTCCATGCTTTTCCCTGTGGATCCAGAGGCTTGAGTTCACACTTTGCATTGGTGGCTGTGGCTAAGTGTCTAAGTAAGGGAAGTGAAGTGGGGTGACAATGGTGAATTGTGGGACATAGACCTAAGCTATTGAAGAGAAAGGTGGCACAAGGCACAGCAGCATTTTTTTCCATATTCAGTGTTTTGGGGAAATTCAATTTGTGCCAGAATGTCCAAGTTTTCTGCTGGATAAAAAGCTGTAAGACAGTTTCTCTGAAGCAAAGAAACAACCATGTTCTGCTGTTTGGACAGGTATGGGATAGAATATGGAAAACACGACTTTAAGAGAAAACCCTCAGCATTTTCCTCATTTTCATAGGAGCTGTAAGAAGCCTGTGGATATTGAGAGAAAAGATGTTTGGCTAAAGCTGTGGATGGATAAAGTAGAGTTTGTGGTAGGAAAATGGGCAGAAAAGAGAGGGGAAGTAAAACAGCAATGCACTTACCACTTGGCTGTGTCAGCTGGCATAACTTTGCGCACGTAAGGCTCAAAGAGGTTGTCGTCTGCCCCTGGATATGGCAGGCAGACTGCTCTTCCCCAGCGACCAACTTTTGCCATCACCTTTCAGAAGACAAGGGAAAGTGAGGGGGGAATTAAATCCACAGCATTTATCCCTTCATCAGCAAAAGCAGCAAGAATTCAGTAGTTGTAACAGTGCAGGGCGTGCTGGAGGGTTTATCTGTGTTCTGTCACCAGTGACTGGCATCACTGCTTCCCAGTTCAGGGATGAGTAATGATGGGTTGACCTGTCTTGCCACTTAACTTCTGAAAGGTTAGCTTAGACAAGATAGTCAATACAAGGGTTTTTATACAGCCTTCCTCACAGGACTGAGCTGAGCAGCTCCAGAAAACAACTAGATGCTTCTTCCCCAGAAACCCACCTTGGCATGCAATGAATCCCTGTCTGGGTGATTGCATTACCACCTGATTAAGAAAAAAAAAGGACTAAAGTCTTTGCAAATCTCCCTGTCCTACTGTAGCTAAAGTGCATCCTTCAGCCTGTGACAAATCATCTACGACTGTAGTGCTGTGCTCCCTACCGTCCACCTGTGTGTGCTTCCCTGCTCCTTCACCAAGGGTTGTCTTTGTACAGGGGTCTACCGGGGTGGAAGTGGATTGTGGTTACAGGCAGCAGCAGTCCAAGTAGCATTAGCGAATAATCTGAAACAAGACTGAATGAGTAGAAAGCACAAATACCTCTGGGCAACTGTGACCAAAGTTAATGTGAATGTAACTGCACTGTAGGTCGCAGTGTATGATCCTCCTGGAATGAAGATATGCCATGGCAGAAGCAACTTGCTCCAGGCAAGTGAGAAGTTTAACATCATCCATGCCAGGACTTGCAGCAACTTCTGTTAGGGACTTTGGGTTGCCATCAAGAGGCTTGGATATCTGCAAAAAGGATACAGGAGAAAATTAGGGAGAGGAGTCAAAGGGCAAATGCTTGCTAGCAAGTTATCACAAACAAAGCAGAGCTCTGCCTCCATATGTGCCCCTCACAGCAGTTTCCCAACTGCCAGGAGAGAATAGCAAGATGCTGTATTTTGCCCTGGATCTCTGTGGTTTGCCTACTTCGTGCACAGGTGCGATGTGCAGAGGTTTCTCTTAGCTCTGAGAGAGCAACAGGCAGAGTCCAAAGCTCTGTGAGCCGGGGGAACGCACCCCAGTCAGCACAGAATTAACTTGTCTGCATTCAGGAGAACATGTTTAGCGTGGCATAGCAGGGATGGTATTTCACATTTACCTGATGGCATTTCAAAAGAACAGCCTCCCCAGACACTGCAAACAGTAGGACAGCAGTCACAACCGTATGCTGTAGCAGCGCCGGAGGAGGGCACCACCGTGCAGAAGACCGGGAAGACGCAAACTGGGAGCAGGTCTCTGACTCACAGAGTTCACAGTCCATTGCCTGACAAGCAGCCCCTTTCTTTAATTCCTCACTAACTACTCTGTGGCTCTTTCAGTCTCTGCTGTGGCTAAATGCTTTGTAAAACACTTTACAGTCTCTCAGTGGAAGCTGGCAGCTCTCTCCACTGCTGTTCAGCTCCTTGAAATGCACGATCGGCAAAGTTAGCCAACAGCCACTAACACAAAACCCTTCATGCAAACAGTTACAGCTATGTGGTGATTTCCCTGCTCAAGGAAGGACTCAGCAGCAGGAAGACTGCAACGATACAATCTCATCCCTCTGTCTACCCAGAAGGCTTCTGTTGTACATTGCCTGGGATCCCAGCTCAAGACATAACAAACCCAGATACCACGTACTGTGTCAAAGAAAAATCTTTGTACAGAGAACTTACTCTTTCCTCCACCATGCCGATATAAATATGCAGAACTTCTCTTGAATTCAGAAGAATTGTCCCTGATTAACGTGGGAATGAATAAGAGCAGAATTATCCAGTAATGCCTTCATCATTTGCAAAAAGGCCTCTCCATGCTATGATAACTGATTTTCCACCTTGGCCTGGCAGGACCCTGGGAAAGGATGATCTATGATACAGTTCTGATGTGATGATGGAAGTCAGTTAGTTACAGAGAAATAAGCCCATTGACAACAGGCTGGAAATCTTTCTTCTGTGGAGTTACACCTCCACCTCCCTTGCTTACAGGTAAAGTAAAAAGCACACAGATAACGAGTAGCTCCTTATTACCACCATGAATATTCCTTTCCCTAGGTCTCCATCTCGACTTTCAGAGAGAAGAAAAATGACCTTTCTCTGCCTGCTTTGCTCTGACCAGGTATTTCACAGGGGATCTGCACAAACACAGCCTTTCTACCAGGAGCAAATTTACACTTCATGCTTCCTCCAGCCTCTTGTTTCTGCCACCACAGACACTAACGCATGCACACTCGCTGCTATCAAAAGCCACACAAAGAGAGTAGCCAAAGCTTGCAATTACAAAGTCTTAGAGATGCATGTAGAGACAGAGCTTAGGGACCGGCTGGTTGGTGACATGGTGTGCCTGGAGAGCACTCCTATAGTCACAGAGCTGATTCCTGTACCTCACGGCCACATCACTGCTGCTGTGGGACTGCTTTTATCATCACCTGAGGGGGTATCCTTGCACTATCTCACTACAGAAATGACTGCTCTGGTCTTCCTGCTGTGGCTGAGAGAGGAAGAGAGTCTGCTGCGTGGTTGTGCCTGGGGGAAGTGCTAGGGACAGCTTCAGCAAACGTCACCAATGTATTTTATGATCTCAGATAATGAGGAGTCAATAGGCTTCATTGAGAAAAAAAAAAAAAGCCGTAGTCACCCAAGACTATGAAGAAAATATTTCTTTTTCTTAGCCCTCCTGATGATCTCCCAGAGCACAGTGGACTATCTAAACATAGTCACAAAGCTACCTCCAAACAAGCTGGGTTTCAGGAATGCAAGAGAATAGAGGTAACAACCCATGGAAGACCCACAGTATTAAAGGCATGAAATTCATATCAGAATTCACATCATACCCATGTCAGATATGTCTCTCCAGTTTTCTTCACCGACTCACATCCAGACCCTCAAAAGCTAAAACCCTCCTATGGCTGCATCACACCTGCCCTCTTTGATCTCCCCTCCAGGTCTGAAGGCACAGTTGTCCCCACCGGCACTCCATGCACGGGAGGTCACGCCACAGACATTGCTTGCTTGGTGACACAGAGCCCCAGCAAAGCTCTCACCAGTGTGGTGGTCATGGGGAAGTAGTGCATGATTTCTTTTACCGGCAGTATGTTCTCATGCTGTAGTGCCTGAAGGGCCATCTTGGTCATATGGTTCATTCTGAATGACACCAACTCATGCAAGCAGTCGTCCTGTAAGAGAGCCAGAGAATCAACCACCAGTAGCAGCAAGATGCCACCACGTTTATGGAGGAAAGGACAGAATTTGCATCCTACCTGTTATGGCAATGAAAAGCCAAGCTCTTCCTTCAATAACCCTAGTGAAACCCACCTGACTTTAAAGGGATGGCTGGAGTATTACTGTCTTTGTAATGGAAGAATGTTGCATTTACTGGTCCTATCAATTTAATTAGCTTTGTGAATGACTGAAGAGTAGAAGAACAATTTGATGATTTAACTTAATTTCCATTTGGAAGAAACAAGGGAAATTTTCCAGCTTTAAGTGTCCCAAAATTTGGGAAACCAAAACCACATATCCAAAATATATTCTGAAATTTTATTGGCCTATCAAGATTTGGTCTGAAAGGACCATTTGTTACTTACACAAAACACGTTACTTATAGGAAACCCAGTTTTTTGTCAGTCAATTTACTCATAGTGAAAATGCTCATCTTGAAGGGCCTAGGGACGGATGAACTTTGGCACATCAAACTATACCAAAAATAATAAGCAAAATCATAAAGTAGTGTCACAGAAAAGCTGTAGATATGTAAGTTTTTCCATCATGTTTCTTTTCCAGCTGTCCAAGGATTTTGCCTTATCCCTCTGACTTGTCTTAAACCGGCTCCTCTCATTAAAATTTACATCATTTAAAAATGACAAAGCCATAAACAACTAATGCAGTTTGACTTGACCATCTCTACAGCACAGAGAATTTTTGATTGTTTGACTGCCAGCATAATCTTGAAAGATTCAGCCAGGCTAAGTACAAAAATTGCCAGTGATGATAAATCTACCACCAGTCCTACTTCTAGCTGAGTTTTTCACTCTCTAGCTACTGGCTCTTGACATGATTTTGACTGCAAGATGTAAATATTTCTATTGATAAAGCAGATAAAGTTTTAGAAGAGATAAAGTGATAACGATGAAACCAAAGCACTACCTTTTGCTCAACAGTGTCTTCATACTTCTCTGGAAATACGTTGGGTTGATCATTCTTCCTGAAGTTGCCTGAAGAAACAGCAAGACAAAACCACAAGGAAGCCTATTTCTCCTCATATATATACCAGCTGTATGTTGACATACAGGTGTAGATGTCTGAAAAGTTGCTCTTAATTTATCCCTCCCAAAGGAAAATCTGCATCAGTCCTCAGATTTTTTGATAAAGTGTTTAACTCTCCATGGTGGCTGACTCATACAATCACTTTGCCTGAATGTTCTCTTGCAAGAAGATGCCTCCCCAGGAAAGTAAACTGTGCAGAGCAATCTCCCACAAGAAGGATGAGCTCCCTCCTCTCCTCCGCAGGGGTCCCATTTCCAGCACAGCATGTTCTGCCAGCCAAAGGTGAAGGAAATGGGAATGGGGAAACTCAAACCCATACGGTGAGGTTGCACTTCGTGTTTCTCACATAAACTCTTAGAGGCAAGAAGAACCTTCATCCAGAACTCACCCAGACTGTGGATGAGCTTCTAACTTATCCCCAAACTTGCATTTCTGGATCCCCACCTGTAGAAGTATGAAAAACCTCATGGAAGGACCTTTTGCCATTAGGTGCTTGGATCAATTCATACATCTAAATATGACTGCAATCTGGTCACTTACTTCAGCAAAGCCCCTGACCTTTCTGTGGGTTACCCAAACGCATCCCAGCCTGCTCTGCCACTGTTTCCCTCAGACCTCCTGATTCCAGTGCATGCATTTTGCAAAGCCTCCTGCATCCTCCTGTTAATACATCCACTGATTTCCTCTTGAGACACAAGTACTGTTAAGAAAGTTTTCTTGCCAGAGACATTCATCATGCATGCTTTGAGAGAACTAGTTCGTACCTTTGCTGTCAAGGTAGCCCTGTAAAACAAAAGGGAGAAGAAATATAACCAAATCTTGAGCATTCTTAGTTATTATTTCTGCTTACTTCCATCTATGCAGACAGAAATACTAGTACTCCCACTTTTAAATCATGTAGCCCTCATTAGCCTCTGAGATCTAACACTGCCAGAAAAATCAGGCTTCAGCAGTGCAGATCCTGGGGAGGAGAAGACTTCCAGATGGCCTTTCATTCCCCAAACAAGAAAAGCCTGCTGTGAAATGCTGCTGCTAGAACTGCTTGAACATACTGAAAGAACCCAGGATTAAGTAGGATCCCAATGGTGTAAATCCATTGCCTTTAGGTTAAAATTTAAAAACCATTTTTCTTCATGTCTGAAACCAACCCGATTTTCTGGAGTCCACTGTCAAGTCTGTTAAATGGTACTTTTACTTTGGGCCAAATGCAGTGGCCAAGTGAAAATAAGGCAACTCTTACATACTTCCCATTAACACACAAGACCAGCAAGTCTGCATCTGCTTTTTTTTTTCCACAGGGCAAGAGAAACCAGATCTGCTTGGTTTAGGCCTGGCCAAACCCAGCCTTCCTACCATTTGAAGTTCAGCAGTGACCAGGCAAGTGCTGGGCAAAGCCAGACTGTTCAAAGCTTTACACAAACACTTTGCGAGACCTGATCGTCAGAGTATCAGGCTGGCTCTCTCAGCACGCATATCTGGTTTGCAACCAGCATGCTCTCCAGATAGATTACCCTGCAATTATTAGGATAATGCTGATTACTGATTACTGATTAACACTGATTGCTACTAACCATTAGTAGGTATAACGTGAGCGGCAGCAGCCAGTGCCATAGACACCACGCTCTAGAGCATGCAAACAAGATATTCACAAAGTCAGCAGATCTGGAAAAGTTACTTAGCAGCTTTGACATTTACCCGTATAATATCTTCCTCGCCGATGGGAGAGAACTGGCTTATTACCTCATGTGGCTTGTCCAGATCTGACCCTAGAAAAAGAAAAGAAATGCTGGAGTTTGTATTTCAAACTACCCAAACCCCGAGGGCAGGGATAGAGCTGCCTTTGCTGTCATGGCTGCAGTATCTTTGAGGCAAATGGTATGGCTCAGCTTTTGCTAAACTGAAACAAAAAATCTGGCTAAAAGCTGCAAGCTGCAACCAAAAAATACTGTATTATAAAGAAAGTACCACACAGTCATTTAAGTGAGATGAGAGTCACCCGTACACTTCAGCCCCGCCAGAGACGGTGGCTCCTGTACTGCTGTGCTTCCAGCACAGACGAAAGGACTCGGAGACTCCGCTGCCCAGTCTTCGGGAGGACCAATGTACCACTTGCCTACGGGGATTTCTCCTGAAATGGATCCTGACGAGGCAGCGAGAGGGGAGGCAGGAGCTACATGTGTGTGAGGAAGGTGCTCACACAAGGCACCGAAAAGTGAATAAAGAGCTCTACAGAGAAGCACCAAGTTGGGAAAGGAATGACTTTTCAGTGACCCGTATAAAAGGATGATCTCAGTCTGGTTCCCACCGCCGACAGAAGCTGCAGTAATCGTGCTGAGTGCGAGGCGTTCCCCTGCTGTGTCTGTGCAGCGCTGCTGGGCTGGCTGGCCAGGCTCCCCAGAAACCGCTCCCGCATACTGGTACGTGCAGGCAGCCGAAAGCCTGAATTAACTTTAGAGTGAACCCTGATTAAGTTAAACACAGGTTAAATAATTCTAGCGTCGGATGCTAACCCCTATTGATTAAAATGTCTTACAGCTTCTGAATCAAGGCGCTGCAGCAGTGATGACCAGGCAGCAGAAACCACCATGGGCATGTTCCCATGCTCTGAGTGAGCACTGTGAGTAATTACAGGAAATGTCTAGGCCCCTCCAAAGACTGACGAGTTCCTTTATGAAGAGGAGGCTCAAAACGACTCCCAGATGTGGGAACAGATGGATCCATCAGTGTGCTCTGTAACCAGGGAATTGGACCAGAGGCTGGGAAAGGACCTCCCTGCCTCTATCTCTGTAGGGCTGTTCCAGGCTACTGTAAGTGTCAGGATGGTGACATCATGCTATCAAAATTCATTGTCATCATCTGAGGAGTCTCTTATTAAATAGCTTCTGTAATGAAAGAGAATTCAACGAGGGAGCAAAAATTGTTGTTAATTCAACTGGAAATCATTAAGACCCAGGTGAGCAGTGCTGCTGAGACAGACTTCTATCTCTCTGACTACACAGTGCACTAGGTAAATGGGATGAACGAAATCAGATTCCATGTCCTAAAAGCCAAGGTCCCACTGTGGAAGACATAAGCACAGAGGTAGACCTGAGCCTTCACTTGAAGGGGAGATACCCAGAACAAAATGTGGTACAATAAGAGGGCAGGACTGGTGGAGAAGTTTACCCAGACCCTGAGAGCATTGATGAACAGAGAATTTATCAGTCAGGTATATTATACCATATACAGTTTTTTATGCATTAAACACTCTGCTTGGTCACTGTTACTGTCACTCTAGAAGCTGTAACTGAGCTGGGAAGGTGACAGGTATGGGCACACCGTTGTTCGAATTCCTCAGACCTAGCTTTTCACAGCATGAGTAATTTTACACCACTGACTTGGATTTTTGCTGGAAGGTTCACAAGCAGGATCCTGGGAATAAAGGAAAGGGTGTCCCTAAGATTAGCACTCATTGGTGGAGATCCTCCAACTGCAGGGCTCTGCACCTCTGCAGGTGGGAATGGACATATACTTTTCATAGCTACATTTATCTTAAAACTGTAAGCTCTCTAACTCTGCATCTGTACAGCTCTAGCACGGCCCCTTGACTGGGTCCTACAATGCTACAAATGACCAGTATTGCATTAAGTAGTCATTACTACAGTGATGCTGCCCAGGAGACTAGCCTGTTATAGTGATTTCCATACCCAGGGTCCTCCCGTAGTCTTCCAGGTGCTCTACCAGTGCTTCCATGGATGTACGCTTCATCTCATCAGGCTCCAAGTTGGAGGCTATCACATCCCACAGTTTCAGAGGAATTGAGTCTGGTCTTTGTGCCCTGTGCCCACTACAGATCTAAGAGGGGAAGACAAAGAAAAAGATCAACCATGGTGACTGCAGCTGAGCCTGATTTCGAAACAAAACAGCCCTGGGCAATGCTTATCCTACTATCTCAGGGTGATATCATAGGTTACAGAAACATAAATGAGTCAACTATTGATTTCCAGGATGACACCAACATAATGAGCAGAATTGAACCTATCTAAATACCCCTTTCACTCTTCCAGTTCCCCAAAACCTCTGTGCAACACCACTGACGTTTTTGAACTGCTGCTAATCTGACTTTCATGTAACATTTCCCTTGATGACTTCACCCCTGAAAGACCCAATGGTGTCCTACTACTTATAATTAAATCCCTTTATACTGTAGCTGGTCCCACTCTGTTTTTCTTTTTACCAGTTTCCAATGCAGCAGTCATAGATCTTTCAAGCATAGTGTGTCGGACCCTACTCCCTTCCCAAGGTAGAGACAATATTCAGATACAAGTGGTTTTCATTGAGCTCTGATACAATAACTCAGTACAGTACTCAGAGCAGAAACTTCAGCTTTAGCCTACCCTACACAAGGTGCTATAGCAAGTCCTTATGCTTATTTATCCAGATTACTTTTAACAATATGCAGATTTTCCCTCTGGTTCCCATAGATGTCTCCAATTTCCTCTCCCCTTCTAGATGTCTTGATCATCTCTCTGGAGTCTTCAGTTCCCCATTTACCTTGGATGGAACTTACCCAGATGACACACGTGGATGTGTAACCAGTCCCATAAGGACAGCCTGTTTGTGCGGCCAAGGATTGTTCATTGTCCACTCTCCCCTATTCCCATGTTTTATCGAGGTCCACAGGTTTGAAAGACCAAATTAAAGGTGAATTTCAGCATCTCAGGTTGAAATAGGTTGTGTTTTTCATGGCTCCTCTTCCTTTCTCACTTTTAATGTCCCTTCACCACCTTAACACCCTCTGGCATTAAGAACACAGCCCCCAGTCAGTAGAAGAGATGTTTTTCTGATCCCCTATGAAAGCCACTTACCTCTGCTATGAATCTGGACACAGGCAAGTACCTGAGCTCAAAGTACGTTTGCCCACCGTACAGAAGAATGGAGTAAAATGTCGCAGCAACAGCCCATGCATCGGAGAAAGTAGAGAAGACGTGACACTGCAGGGACTCGGGAGCACTGAAATATATGGACAGTGGCTCCTCACTGTCTCCTGTGTTAAGACAGAGATGAATCAAGACAAAGGCCATGACCAGAATTCTCTTGCCCTTGCCATGGATATAGATTTATCTTTGTAACCATCCTCACAGCACCTGGACATGGCCAGTAAGAAAATAAAAGAGGAAAACCTATTCTTAGCAACGACGACTAGACAGCCTACAAGTTACTCATAAGGAGGGTGAAGAGAGCAGAATGGGGAAAATAATTCATGTTGTCTGTGTGAGACTGTTTCTACCACACCTTAATAAATTAGAAAAATGTTGACCACTTGTAACTGGACTTGATTGAGGGATGGAGGTCTCAGGAGCTCTGACGGTGCAAAAAAAGGAGGGGTTTTATAGTGTCTTCACTGAAGGAAGGCTGTGGCACGACACAGCCTTTACTACACACACAAGAACCCGCATAGGCACTCACCCTTACAATATATTCCTGGGCCACCAAGCTTGTGCAGCTCCAGTAACAGGGTGGGAAACTGAGCGAACGAGTAAGGGCTTTGCCTGGGATTTCAAAGTATGAGCTGCAAGGCTTCGGAGTTTCTATACTCTTCGGCATTTCTGGGACAGTTTCATTGTTTAACCTTTGACTGGCATTATTTACGGAATGAGTTTTCCATCATTTCTGATGACTCAGTGATCTAATCTCAGCCTGTTATGACAGCTTCCCAGGCAAAGTTGCAACAGGTGTCACATGCAGAGACTGGCTGAATTTTTATGTGCTTCCTGAACTGATTGGTTTTGTTAAAGCCATTTCCTTATGAGAAGCACATGATTAATCCTATCTACAGCAGTTTGAGTGCTTACTGCTGCTGTGCACTTAAAAATCATCTGTAAGAGCCAGCCAGCCCTAGTCAGGTACTCAGAATGACTGCCAGACTGTAGCAAAAAACTGAGCAGGAGGAGAACAAGCTGGGGTCCTAGCAATTGAATCCAGATGTTTCGATAGCAGTCAGGGTAAGAACAGGTGCTCTCTGAGGTTTCTTACATTTCACTCTTGGTCTTTTTGCATATTCATATCATTAGTAGTGTTAGCTTGCATTTATCAGGGCTCCCTAAGGTCCTCAAAGATAAGGGGAAGGACAACTAGACCTTGTTTTCCCTGAGGATACTAAACCTCAGAGCAGAGAAATGACTCACAGAAGAGCTGTTCAGTGACTAGCCCCCCAGTGAAAACTGTTGACATTTCCCAAGCCTGTCTTCACCCACCAGCTCTGCATGTCTGTACCTCTGAGCTGCCCAGATTTGATGGTTTCATAGGGAGAATCAGAAGCTGAATAGTATCTCTCATCCTCTGGGGGAACCAGCCTGGCCTGGAAGAAATCAGACAGCTTGACCTGCACTGGAAGTGCTCTGGTTCCTTGTCGTCCACCTGAGACCACAATGAAGCTGGCTGGAGTGATGTTGCAAAGTAAGACCCTTTTCTGGTGACATGACCCAACAGCTCTGGCAATATCTTTTAAAATACCTATTATAACGGATTGCGTAAGTTTATTTCTTTTTTCCTGCAGGAAAGCCAAGAGTGGGTTCCCATCTTCTATCATGTACAGTGGAGGCACTCCACAGGCACTGCACATTTGCAGCTTGGCAATGGACTCCCTGTCTTGACACAGAGCCACTATTTTGATGATCTCTTGAAACCTTTCACAGTCACTGTCGGTGGCATTCGTCTGCAAGATGTCATTCAGGGTCTCTTGTTTGGCTATGTAGACCTTTGCATTGCCTGCAGGTGTGATACCCTGCACAACAATGCTGCTGGCATTCATCTTCATTTGTCCCTTGAGGGTAAGATCAGGGATGGTGACCTTCAGATGTTCTCGGAGAGCTGCCTCCACGTGGCTGGGATCGGCTGGGATCACTTTGTTTCCCAGCTCAGAAGCATGTGTGTATGTGCCATCCTTGCTGAAGAGTAATGGCGCAATGCAGTGTCTCACCTCGCTCAGCGGGTGGTAAAGCAACTTTTGGAAGAAATGATTAAGGATGATCATTGCCCAAGTCTTCTTCTCTTTAGTGGCAGTTCTTGTGCACCATTCCCACAGGCTTTGGAGAAGATGCAGGCACTCTTTTACTGCCCCTGTGACAGAGAAGTGCTCTGTTAGTGCCACTGCAGGGGGGCCACCGTATCACACATTGCAGACTTTTAAAAAGAACATGGCACCATGGTACAATGATTTGAGACAGGAAGAGAAGAAAAATACTGATTATTTGCTGTAGCATTGACTAAGCACAGCCAAGTCACCACAATCTCCTCAAAAAGGCCGTGCCACGTTGGACATTTGTAGGCAACTGGAGTGGTGGGTTACGTCTCTAGAGAGAGTTTTGACTCAGCAGCACAGGGCTCAGTTCACTGGATAGAAAAGCAATCAGCTCAGAAAAATTGGGTAGTGAAGATCTCAACTCCTTTATGTAAGAAACTGAAACTCCAGTCCTGCCTCTTTCTGCAAGGTTATAATTTTGTCATTGTCATCATCACCTGCCTCAATCAAGTCGGTCAGTGGTGAATGCCAGAGAAAAAGGGATAAGAACTGGACATACAGTCTAATAAATAAAGCAGCTGAGACCTTTTGGAACAGTAACCATAGTGCAACGGCTGTTTTGCCATTGTCTGAAATCTGACGCGCAAAGCAAGTCCTGGCAGTAATAGCTCCCAGTGCTTTTTCCCCAGCTTTGTGCATACATGGAAGAAGAAGGCCTGGCTGGCTGAAAGCAGTTTGTCTTCAAACACCTGGAAAATACAGAGAGTAACTGACTTGCTCACATTTACTGTGAGCTTCACTGATGGTGGTTGCTTACTTTCATATTAAGTAGCCGACTGCGCATCCAAATAAAAGGATGCATAAAACAAGCCTCTTGCCCAGGGGTCATGTATTTACTGCTCACAGAGTAATGTCACACACCAGTCAGAGATGGACAAGTCAGGAGTTACAAAAGCAATACTAGGATAGCATGATCAGTTCGTTACGCACCTTTTCAGTAAGAACAAGAACGAAGATATGTCTTATCATCCAGGGTACTCTCTGCAGCTGCTTCTGGATGACTTGGAACTGCACGACCCTCTGGTTTGCACAAGTCACTGTTTTCTCCAGTGTCTTAAGGAAACTTTCCAAGTGCTTCAGGTATGTTTCTATGAAATTTGGCCAGGGTATTTGTTTTTTTACAGCAGTGGAGATAGCCGTTCTGATTTTCTGGTAGGCACTAAAGCACAGATACTCATAATTTCTCTCCCCTAAAGGGACAGTGCATTTTGCAAAGACCATTCCCCTCAGCAGAGCCTTCAGCTTTCCATTGTTTGTTATGGACACATTAATAAATATTGCTGCCAGAATCCAACAGTGTAATTTCTCCTGATGAATGCGAAGCTCGTGGTTGGAAGCAGAGCTGTTGCATTGCATGAGCTTTCTTACTCTCAGCTCTAAGTTCCCCAGGTTTGCCAACCTAGTGAAAGTCAGAAAGTCCCTCTTGATGTTTTTGACCAACAGCTGACAGATCTGTTGTCTGGTCCGCTCATTCTTAGCATCCCAGTATCTCATAAAATAATGATCCAGCTCTTGAAAAGATAGGTTGGACATTTCTTTCAGGATGTCTTCAGTTTCTGGACAGAAAACAAAATAAACATCTATCAGCTGAAACCCTCCCAGAGTTTCTAGCTGGTTTCTGTACTAGACCACAACCTACAGGGACCATTTGTCAGTTTGTCTCTCCTCAGAGAAGAGGATGTGGTTTGAGACAGTGCTAGGAACACATCGATGAACATACTTACAATCTATCAGAAAGGAAAAGAAGATAATTACTCCTTACTATGCCGTTAGGCATCCTGACCAAACCTTGCACATAATGCTCCTTGAAGATCTCCCAGACTACAAAGCCATATACATATCTGAAAGTGGTGCTGTGGTCAAAACCTGACTACAGCTTGTGTTTTTAATGGAAGAACTGGTCTATTGCTCCCTTGAAGAGATAAATTGGAAGAGGTGAAATCTTGCTATTGACTATAGTAAGAACTGAAGTTGGCTCACAGCACTGCAGAAGCAATGCTGCACAGACATGAACAGCAATCCATATTTCAGTTGATTCTTGCCCATTAAGACTATACTGCCCTATGAAACTCAAGATGAATTGTAACACCTCTCTAATCTTGCTTGAGTTTTGTAGCTCAACTAGCTTTACCAGGCACTCAGGCGTACACTTAATGCCATAAGCAAGGAACGTGTGGTTCATGCTTGTTTTCCCCACCAGCTCTTTCCTTTGTGGCAGCTCCAGTGCACTATTAACCACCACCACCTCGGAGCATTATGCCTGCATGTATCATCTTCCAGTAATTACTCTGATGCAAATCAATGCAGTCTTTATTTTGCAGCTCAAGGGCACAACTGTGAAGGCAGGAGTCTGTTGTGCAGGACGTGAAAGTTCCCAAAGATTGCTGCAACAAAGTCCTCCCAGCTGCTGCTGTGTGGGACTTTTACATGAGGGGGAGTGTGGTGGCCAGGAGAGCATTGCCAGTGTAGGGGAGCCGTCCGTGTGGGGGGTGTATGTGCAGGAGCAGTACCTCTGGGGGGGAGCACTCTATGCTGCAAGAATGAGTTGCTGAAGGAAGGGGTGTAGTGATGTCTCGAGCACAGTCTGAATGATGCCCGTGATCTATCTGACCTCCTGAAAGGGGCTGCAATACAGAGATGGAGCACAGAGACATTAGTTGGCTAAACCCACCTCTGACACCCTGCAGACACCCTGCCGTAATGCATGCTCAAAAATGCTGGTGTCACTTACAGTCTCTGTCTGTGGAGGATGAGAAGGGCAAAGGAGACTCTGGAAAGAGAAGGCAGGAGAGTTAAGGAGAGCAAGCTCTTCTCCAGGATAAGACAAAATATAAACAACCAAAAGGCACAATCATGTCTAATCTGACATGGAGTAAGCAAGCCGGTTTGCGACTGGTGTTTAATACCTGGCCCCAGGCGTGTATTTACCGCGGGGTGCATAGACCCAGATCAGTGCAGATCTGCTTCTCTATCAGTATTGCAGGCACATCGGTGTCATGAAAGGTTTAGGATTTTAAAGACAGCAACTGTGCCCGTCCATCTATTTTGTGTAGTGTTCAGCACAGTGAAGGGCGCTGAAGAAAATACTCCTGAGTTCCACTACTGAGCTTATTCCACAAACAAGGTCAGATACTGAAAATCTATCACAAGAAACATGTCCTTGATCTGAATACCAAACTGGTGGCCAGAAGGTCATGATCAGTTCTACACAGCAGTGGCTTGAATGTCGTACGTCCCGCTGGCTATCTGGAGAGTTTTATACTGTTGGAAAGAAACAATTTCAGCTTCTCCTCAAGGTATGCAAAGCTCACTGGAACACTAAGATTTCTTTAGGTAAGATACTTTAGGTTGACTAAAGATTTTATTTCAGGTTGCATTAGAAGGCTTTTACCATTAAGCAGAATATATTTTTTTTCTCTCCTTCTGGGAGGAAGGTCTAGATTTCACAGATAGAAGAGTTTTGAAAGAACAGCCAGAGGACTGTTTTGGTAAAATTCTCAGGATATATTACCATCACCAAGTGCAGACAGGGTGACTTTGCTCTGCCTGTGTTTCTAGTTGATGCAACATGAGCTATGTCTACCTTAGAAATCATTTATGAGCACAGAACTGTGCCCAAATTAGACAGTTCTGTTTCATGATGGGGTCTGACTGTGCAGACATAGCCTTAGACATTTTAAAGTAAGGTGGATCTGTCAAAATCCTCACTGAAGTGAGGTACCTATATAACAAACTGTTGGTCCAACTTGCATCCTGGGCAGACTGATGGGGGAAGCCTGGAATGATGGAGATAATCTAGCAGAAACTCGCACCAGTACTGCTGAGCAATCCTTAACATCTCATACTAGAAACTCTCTCTTTCCAAAGCTGTCACCCTCCTCTCCCTCTCCAGGGCAAAATAAACTTCAAATTAACTTAATCCAACAGTCAAACACGAGAAGTCCAATGGTCTTACCTGTGTCTATCTCCCTTAATACCATCTGTTTCCTTCTGGTTAATGGAAGAAGTTTTCTATGATGATCTATGGTTTTCTTTATTTTGCGCAAAAGTTGTGGATCATTGACTTCTACGGAAAAGCAACATTGCCATAGACTGGGCAAGGTGTAAGCAGCATCAAACAAAAGTAGTACAATTCTCCTCAGCTTATCTGCAGTTATAAGCATGTCTAAAAGGGTTTGGAAGTATCGGTCTTTGTAGACTGGTATAAGTGTAACAGGGATAATTTTCATAGGTTTCTGCATGGCATGTATGATGGTATCTCCTCCAACAAAATTCCTGTAACCATGGTAACAGCAGTAATCATCGTTCTCCAGGACTTGCACAATCTTCTCATTAATAAAGTTGTCAACAGCTATCTGCTCCATGTTCCGTGGTGCAGGTGCAGATGGGATGTAGAGGTCATAGCAATAAAGTTTATGACAAATGAGGTCACCTGAAATGACACAAGATGAGTAGTATTACAGACCACTCAGTCAGGAATATTGGTTCCACATGGGAACATCCCTGCAGGAAATCCAGTTAACTTCACAGTGCAATGACTGCTCCTTCACTAGGAAGAAGAGCATTAGTTTTGCCTACTGCAGATGCATTTGGGCGATGTATAAACAGGTATTAGGGTCTGAGTGAAATTCTATACTTTGAATGAAAGAAAAAGATCATAGAATCATAGGACAGCCCAGATGGGAAGGACCTCGAAAGATCATCTGGTCCAACCTTGTGTGGGAAAGGAAGCCTAGGTGAGATTATCAAGGACCCTGTTCAACTGCATCTTGAAAACTTCCAGTGATGGGCACTCTACCATGTCCCTGGGGGGCTTGTTCCAGTGATTGATTGTTCTCACTGTAAAAAATTCTTTCTTATACCAAGATGAAATCTCTCACAGGGCAATTTGTACCCATTGCTTGCCCCTTGTCTTTCCATGTGGCTCCTTGCTGCCTTTGGAATACTGCAAT